TCTCTCTCTCTCCTCTCACCCCCCTCTCTCTCCACTCTCTCTCTCTCTCTCTCTCTCTCTCTCTCTCTCTCTCTCTCTCTCTCTCCTTTAATTCTATCGGCTTGCGCAGCGGTCGCCCACGCAGATTTAAAGATGTACGTGAGGCAGGGGGGCGATGCAGAAAGGCTGCTACAGCCTAGAGCTCTCCAGAACATCCGTTCCCCCTGAACTCTGTTAAGCACTTCAAAGTCTATTTCGGAGGTGGCGAGCTCTCGATTGTAGTTAATAAACAAGCAGTTTGGGTCCCCGTCAGCAGCTCACCATCCCAGCTGGTCAGTCCGGTCAGTCTCCGGCCGCAGCTGCAGACACTGCCCATGGGGACAGCAGCGTCAGCGCGCGCTCGGGTGTTTACGCCGTGTCCAGGCAACGGCCGAAGCGCGCCGCCGGCCCGCGCGAGACGCAGCCTCGTATTGGCTGCTGCAGCATCCAATCAGTTTGGACCGTCTTCGTTGCCGGGCACAAGGGCTCTTTCTATAGGCCGAGATCCGAAGGCGCGAAGTTCAGATGCTGCTTGGCTGACTCCATTCTCCACCCAGGCCTGGCCTCCCGGCCCGCCCTTGCTGAGCACTGCTTCCACCAGCCCCTCCTCCCCCTCCCGCCCCTTCTCTTCCACCCACCAGCCTTACCCTCCCCCTCCCGCTCCCCCACAGGCTAAGATGTGTGACCGATGCCGGACAGGAGAACGGAACACTCAGTATTGGTTGCGTTTATTTCACTGGCCTATGAGATGCTAAAGGCCATTTTAAATCAAAGGATTTAAAAACAAGAACGGATCCAAGAAATTAGTCGATAGGGCCCCATGTAGTCCAGGCCAACCTGAAGTCCCTATGTAACTGAGGACCGCCTTCAACTCCTGATCCTGTTTCCACTAGCCAGGTGCTCAGATGACAGGTACTACACCTGATTTATGCAGTACTGGCCGTCTAGCCCAGGGCTTCGTCCATGCTACGAAGCACCCCACCAACTGGGCCGCATCTATAGCTCCAGATATGGTAGTTTGTGTGTGTTAATAGAATATCATGTAATGTTTTGATGCCTGAATACATTACATCACATTTAAATCAGGGTAGATCTACACATTATTTCTTCAGGATGAAACCAAAAATCCTTCTTTCTGGCTTTTTGTGATGTATAGATATGACCTTTATGTAGAGCCATCAGACTGTGCACAACAGAGTTGCTTGTTCCTTTCTGACTATAGCTTAGTGTCCTGTTCAGCCTTCCCATCTGTCCCTCCCCTCCTCTCTCCCGACTCTGGTAGTCACCATTCTACCCTAAACTTCTACAAAATCAACGTGTTTTAGAGTCTACATATAGGTGCAGTCATACAGTGTTTGTCTTAAGTGCCCAGATTGTTTCAGCTGCCATTTCCAGTTACATCCATATTGTCACAAATAACGAGATTTCATTCTTTTTTATGACTGAATAATATTACTTTATCCATTCATCAGTTGATGGACACTTAGGTTATTACCATGTCTTGACCATTATAAATAGTATTGCAACAAACATGGGAGTTCAGAGTCCCTTCAACATACTGACTTCATTTTTTTTTGTATATATGCCCACTGATGATGTGACTATATCAGAGAGTAGCTCTTTTTTTTAACTTTCTGAGGTAACCGCCATACTGTTACAACAGCTGTATTAACTTACATTTGATCAACAGTGTACAAGTGTTCCCTTTTCTCTGCATCCTCATCAACAATTCAATTTTAGTCTTTTAAAAAATATTACTTTTAAAAATATTTATGATTTTTATTTTTTGTGCATGAGTGTATTGCCTGCATGTATGTAAGTGCACCCAAATCATGCAAAGCCCACGGAGGTCAGAAGAGGACAATGTAACTGGAACTGGAGGTACAGACAGTTGTTAGCCACCATGTGGGTGCTGGGAATTGGACCCCAGTCCTCCGCAAGAGCAACCAGTGCTCTTAACTTCTGAGCCATCTCTCCAGCCACTTTATTTATTATTTTTATTCTATGTGTATGAGTGTTTTGCCTGCATGTATGTAAGTGCACCCATGTCATGCAATGCCCATGGAGGGCAGAAGAGGGCGTTGATCCCCTTGAGCTGGAGTCATGGATGGTTGTTAGCCACCATGTGAGTGCTGGGATCTGAACCCGGGTCTTCTGTAAGAGCATCCAGTGCTCTTAACCACTGAGTCATCTCTCCAGCCCCTATTTTTAGCCTTCTTGATAATCATTCTTAGTGGGGTGAGTAACATCTCATTGTGGGTTTGATTTGCATGTCCTGGATCATTAGTGGTGTTGGGAGTAACTTTTTCAGTGTACCTCTTGGCTGCTTGTATGTCTTTTTAAAAAATGTCTAGAGGGCTGCACAGATGGCTCAGCAGTTAAGAGAGTTAAGAGACCTGGGTTTGGTTCCCAGCATCCACATGGCAGCTAACAACCAGCTGGAACTCCAGTTCCAGGGGATCCAGTTCCCTCTTCTGACCTCTGTGGGTATTGCACACATGGGTCTACTTACATGTACACACTCATACACAGATAATTTACTAAATAAATATACACACATTTTAATTTTTAAAATTAAAAATGTCTATTTAAGCCAGGCAAGATGGCATACCCTTTAATCCCAGCACCTGGGAGGCAGAGGCAGGCAGATCTCTGTGAGATCAGGGCAGCCTGGTCTACATAATAATTTCCAGGCCAGGTAGAGCTAACAGGGAGACCTTGTCTCAAAAAAGTATCTATTTAGACCTAAGCTGCTTACTAGCTTGTGCCACTCTTTTCTTTTCCTTTTCTTTTACAGACGGAAGGAAGGAAGAGTTTATTTCAGCTCACAGTTTTAGGGAAGGCATGGCAGCAGGATCAGAAGACATCATCACATATCACCACGTCGAGGCCGGATCCAGGCACTCTCAGGCAGTCTACTGAGTTCTCAGCCCCTACACCAGACGGAGGCCAGAATAGGCACTTTCAGGCTGTCTGCTAAGGTCTCAGCTTTACCCTGCCATCTGATTGCCTTTTTTTTTTTTTTTTTTTTTTTGGTCTTTTTTTGAGACAGGGTCTCCCTGTAGCCCCAGCTGTCCTGGAGCTCACTATGTAGACCAGGCTGGCCTTGAACACACAGAGATCCGCCTGCCTCTGCCTCTCGAGTGCTGGGATTAAAAGCGTGCCCCACTGATTGCCTATTTTTAAATCAGGTTTTGGGACCTGGAGAGATGGCTCAGAGGTTAAGAGTACTAACTGCTCTTCCAGAGGATCTAGGTTTGATTCCCAGCATCCACATGGCAGCTAACAACCATCCTGAACTCCAGTTCCAGGGGGATCTGACACCTTCTTCTGACCTCTGTGGGGATTGCATCACACGGGTGCACTTTAACACATGCAGACAATACACTCATACACATAACATAAAAATAATAAAATATAAAAAAACAGGTTTTATATGTATACACCATTGATTATTTTGGAGTTCCTTATATATTCTGAATATCACCTATTTGTCAGATTTATAACTTTGAAATTACCCTCTTCCCTCCCTCACCTTTTTGTTTTTTTTTTTGTTTTGTTTTTTTTTTTTTTAGACAGGGTCTCACTATGTAGCCATAGCTGGCCTGGAACTCATAGAGATCCACCTGCCTCTGCCTCCTGAGCGCTGGAATTAAAGGTGGGTGCCACCACACCTCCCACCATCCCATTTTGCAGTTGTATCCATATTCTGATTCTGTTATTTCCTTTGCTAGCCAGAGGCCTTTTAGTTTGACATAATCTCTTTTGTCTGTCTTTAATTTTGTTTCCTACATATGAAGGCAATTGTCCTGTCTTTGACCATTCCAAAATCCTAAAACACTTCCTGATTTATTTTTCTAGTAGTGCCAGGATTTCAGATTTTACATCTACGTCTGTAATCCAGTTTCATTTTAAGCTGGCAAGACATGCATAGTTGGAGGCTTCTGCATAAGGATGTCCAGCTTTTCCAGAACCCCCTCCTGAAAAGATTCCGATGTATATTTTTTGCGGTTTGTTGGGAAGCCACTGTCTACAGACAGTGGTGTATTTTTGAGGTCTCTATTCTGTTGTATTGGTCTATAAGTCTGCACTGAATGGCAGTGCTGCACTGTTTTGATTACTGCAGCTTTTTAGTGTGTTTTAAAGGTCAGTAATGTAATGCCTCCTATTTTCTTCCTTTTGCTCAACATGACTTTGGCTCCTGTAGCTTTTTGTAAAGCAGCTCCTAATTAAAATTGGTTCACCAGAAAATTTTCTTTTCAACTTTGATGTATTCCAACCATTCAAAACAGTTCCTGGCATACCACAGAGACTAAATAGTATTTGTTAAGTGAACTGGTGGTGGAGGTAGAATTACTGCCCTGCGTTTGAGAAAGCACTACCTAGAAATTACTTTGGAGAAGTACTGTTCTTCACTGGTCCAGTGAGAAGTTTATCAGTTTTATCTATATTTTCTAAGAACAAACTTTTTGTTTCATTTTTAATGCTTTTCTATCATTTCCAGTTCCATTGATTTCTGTCTTTCTCAACATTCTTTGCTTCTTTCTGTGTGCTTTTGGTCTAATTTTATCTTCCTAGTTTCTTAATGCACAAGCTTAAATATTTAAGACCATTCCTTTAATTAATTTATACTTATTTATTTTAAGTACATGAGCATTTTGCCTACATGTAAGTGCCCCACATGCATGCAATGCCTGTGGAGGCTAAAAGAGGGCCTCCCAGCAGATGGTTGTTAGCTGTCATGTGGATTCTGGGAACTAAACCCAAGTCCTCTGCAAGAATAGCAGTGCTCTTAACTGCTGAGCTGTCTCTCCAGCTCCAAAGACCATTCCTTCCAAATGCAAACATATATTATAAAGTTCCCTCTAAGCTTTAGTTGCCGCTCATAGATTTTGACAGGTTGTATTTTTACATTCATTTTTTCAAAATATTCAAGTTTGTTATTTGATCATTGGATTCACTGGAAGTGCTTTGCTCAATTTCTGAATGTTTCCTACCATCCATTTCTTTCTGTTATTGATTTCTAGTTTGATTCCAGAATAGCCAAAGAACATACTTTGTCTGGCTTCCATTCTCCTAAATAAATAATAAATAAAGCCTGTGGAGATACAGTCTATCCTTGTCTTTTCTATGTGCACTTGAAAATTGTGTATCCTGGAAAAGAGTATGAATTATTCTAGAAAAGCATGCACATTCTGGAAGAGTGTACTGTTCTAGAAGAGTGTGCGGCCTGGTGTTGTGCCCATGATGCCAGGTTGGTTAGTAATGCAGTGAGGCATCCTCACAGGACTTCCATTTTATCAGTGACTGAGCAGTGTTGAGGCCCCAGGCCTAACAGGGCTTGCCTACTTCTCTTCTCGGTTTTTGTTTTGCTTCAGCTGCATGTCTCCTGAA